TAATAATTTATGCAGTCATGCATGAGTTTTGATCACTAATATGCCGGTGATTGACACATTTACAGATATCAAAATGCTTTTTTGAAGCAAAATTAATTTATACAGTTATTACTTACGCTGATTAAAAAGCTTGAGACCTAGGCTACTATAATAAAGAAAATCTTCTCTAAATGTAGGACAAAATACATTAATATGCATTAAAATACACGATGAATACTCTTGACACATGAAAATGTAAAGCCTGCAGCTCACAACAAATGTGTAAAGTTATTGCGTGTCATATTTGACAAATCGTTTACTGCTAATTTGATGTAATTTTGCTTACATGGATAATTGATTATTAATCAGATGTTGTTATTATGCTGCTGTGCCGGCAGCCAATCGTTACATTGCTGATCATGATTTCGAGGATCGTTAGATCTGTCCTTCACATCACACGCAGCGATTTCAGATCAGTTCATCCAGATATTTTAATCTGATTGGCGAACTTGTTTAAAGAACCAAATTAGCCAGAGATCAGTTATCAAGATTAAAAGATCCAGGATCTGCCAAATCATTTTAAATCATTTAAGCAAGGTACGAAGAACGGACCCTTGGTCTGAGTATTTCAAAAACAGCTGATCTATGGGACTTTTATGCACAATTCTCTCTTGGGTTTACAGAGAAGGGTCAGAAAAAGAGAAAATATCCAGTAAGCTGCAGTTATGTGGGTGCAAATGCCTTGTTAATATCAGAGGTCAGAGTAGAATGGCCAGACTGGTTGAAGCTGATAGAAAGGCAACAGTAACTCAAACAGCCACTCATTACAACTGAGGTATGCAGAGGAGCATCTCTGAACACACAACACATCCAACCTTGAGGCAGATGGGCTACAGCAGCAGAAGACTACACCAGGTGCCACTCCTGTCAGCTAAGTACAGGAAACTGAGGCGACAATTCACAGACTCACCAAAATTGGACAACAGAAGATTTAAATCATTGCCTGGTCTGAGGAGTCTCAATTTCTGCTGCAACATTCGAATGGTAAAGTCAAAAAATGGCATCAACATGAAAGCATGGATTCATCCTGCCTTGTATCAATGGTTCAGGCTGATGGTGGTGGTGTAATGGTGTGGGGGATATTTTCTCGGCACACTTTGGGCTATTAGTATCAGTTGAGCATCGTGTCAACGCCACAGCCTACCTGAGGATTGTTGCTGACCATGTCCATCCCATTATGACCATAGTGTACCCATCTTCTGATGGCTACTTCCAGCAGGATAACGCACCATGACCACCTTTGGGATGTGGTGGAATGGGAGATTTGTATGATGGATGTGTAGCCGACAGATCTGCAGCAACTGCGTAATGCTATCATGTCAATATGGACCAACATCTTAGGTATATTTCTAGCACCTTGTTGAATCTATGCCACAAAGGATTTAGGCAGTTCTAAAGGCAAAAGCGGGTACAACCCGGTACTAGTAAGGTGTACCTAATAAAGTAGCCAGTGAGTGTATAGTATGAAAAACAAACATTTTTTTTTTTTCAAATTCTATTTCTTTTTTTCCAAAATTGCAAAAAGGCTAGTAAACATGAGAATTATAATAAAGTGACAGTGTCATGATTTGTAGGGAGGTAGTCATGTTGCATAAAGTGACCAGTGCAGATGAAAGTGTGTATGTGATTTCATATGTGTCAGAGTCCAAAGGTGCATGGGGAGGGAGATGGGAGTGGTGGTAGAGCAGGGAGAAAGTTCAAATAATGAGTTCATAATGAGAGCATTTTCATTTTTGGTGATCAATTTACCATTAATAGCCTACAGAGTTACACAAAAGTGTTTGTCAATTACTGAATCATTTCTTTTTACTGCTTTTCAGCTTTAGTGTGTGCTTGTTTTAAATAATGATTTACTTTTTAACCCATTACTATGTTAAACATTGAAGTGTCGTACACAACAAAAATGAGAAAAATCATTCTGTTAAGAGAATTTCTTTTTACGCAGGAAAAAACAAACTAAAACAGTTTCATAAAAATAGACAATCTTACCTTTTTTCCACTGAGTGACTTGTCTCAGACAGAGCTGTTCCTTGCTCCTCTGACATACTGCAGTTCAAGAGCGCAGCACCATTTGTGAAATGTCAGCAACTTGACGTCCTAAACATTTAAATTTCAATGAAACGATTTAAACAAATTAACTTTATCCGAAACTTTTAAAAAATGGTGTCAATATTTTTGAACATACAACATAGTCCTTCTATCTTTTTCAACAAGTCTTTTGATTTGTTAAAACACATAATAAAACATTACAATCACTGGACTAAAATACTAGAAATATTAGGTGAAACAAATCACTGTAATCTGATTTGTTTTTTATAGACGTTCACAATTAATGTTTTTATTTTATCAGACAACTACAATTCTGTGCTTAAAGGTGAAAGCTAACATTATGCTGCCATTTATCTACCTCTGTACATTTGAAGGTCGACATAAACTTCTTCAGTGTAAGTGAAGTCTTTCTTCGTCGTAATCGTTGAAAATGCCAGTAGTCGTGTTTCAACATCAAAGGCCTTTGAAATGTTTTACTTTTAGCACCTTTACGTCCGTTTACGCTCGGTGTAGTTTGTGGTTCTTTAAATTTATGTCAAAGTTCAATAACTTTAGACATAACATCGCTGCTTTATTTCCCCAAACACCAGTTAACTGATTTTAAAACTTACCTGAAAAATAAGTGTAAGAAGACCAATTCAGATCAACGCAGATTTCACCTCACAAAGTCTCTCTCTGGTGGAAGTAAATCTCCGTCTGCAAACTCTGGTACTGATTAACAGTGTTTAATCATTCACTTTTTTACCACCTATCTGTCGAATTCATCCAGATGATAAACTGTTTTTATGCGCGGTTTACCCTATCTTTCGTTGTAAATTTTTTATTGCCTGAAACTTTTAGTTTCATTTTGTATTTCCTCATTTTCCCTAACACACCACGTGACTGTTTAGAAATACCCAACGAGCTGGGAAGATAGGTTATAAAGTCATAAAGTCATAAATCAAAGCAAAGTAAGAGTTTTGAGATGATTATCACATTTAATTTACCTTTAAAACACGTCTTTATGTGCACATAACTGATTTAACTAAGGACACAAGAGCTGGATGTGGGTTTAAATCTTATCTGGATCCAAGGCCAGATTGTATTCCCATTTGATAGTTTTTAAAATACTTTACTTTCAAGTAAAGACAGGAAGAACGATTTAATAACGTTAAATAGATAAATGCTGTCCATAAAACTAAAGATTAACTAAAGAAAACTAAAGATGAACACAGAAAGTGAACATGGGAGCTCTAAAAATACAAGTCTAAAACATAAAACACCAAAAGGACCATCAAAATCTTTTAGATATTTTTTTTTTGTTTCTTTGAAGAAACAAGTATGCGAGTCCTTACAATCCGATATATAATTAGCATTAACATGAGTTTAATCCCATCATCATGCCTGTAAGGTTTACACTGAAAACCCAGAATCCTCTCTGATTTGAGCACCGATTCCCTTCACTGCTTCACCTGTAATTAAAAATAATCATTATTTAGATCACCACCAACTTAAGGATAACTGTTCACAATCACTCCTGAACATGGATTTCTGTAATAACACTGCAATATTTGATTTTAGAGTCTCTGCCTCTTTCACTTTGTATGGATTCACACAACCAAGTTTTATATAATAAAATAAACGTATACAAAAATTCAATAAAATTGGTAACACCTGCAGTTTTGTGCAAATGTATCCATAAAAGAAAAAAGATAACAGTTGTGCTGCTCTAAAAACTGGTTTCAGTTGTTTTGCAGATATTATCAACTGAGAATCTTATTTGATCATTTAGTTACTATTTATTTCATATTACATACAAATAACCTTTATTACATAATGTTGTATAACATAATATTATTATACACATACTATTACCTAACATTTAAAAAATGTTTCACATTTTATATTGTGGCCACACAAGTCATAGCATCACGTTTGTTTCTCCTCATAGATACAGTACTGTACACTACCTGACAAATGTCTTGTCGCCTATCCAAGTTTTACGAACTACAAATAATAACTTGATTATAAGCGGCTTATATGAAAGGCAAATGCCTTTTAGATTACACTTTACCAAAATAAAACATGACCATGCCTTGATTTATAATTATTTAATTAGAACAGTAAAGTCTGACTTTGCTCAGACAAATTTCTTGTCACTTAACAGAAATACTGTACAGTATAGAATACAAAGTCATGGTGCAGTGGAAAAAGACTTAATATTGTGTATGACTCCCATGAGCTTGGAGAGGTGTATCCATACATCTCTGCAATAACTTAAATAACTTATTAATAAAGTCATCTGGAATGGCAAAGAAAACGTTCTTGCAGGACTCCCAGAGTTCATCAAGATTCTTTGGATTCATCTTCAACTCCTTCGTCTTACCCCAGACATGCTCAATAATGTTCATGTCTGGTGTCTGGGCTGGCCAATCCAAGAGCCCCTTGACCTTCTTTGCTTTCTGGATCTTTGATGTGGAGGCTGAAGTATGAGGACCGCCGAAGAATTTGCCCTCTCCTGTGGTTTGTAATGTAATGGGCAGCACAAATGTCTTGATACCTCAGGCTGTGAATGTTGCTGTGGATGTTGATCTCTCACACACCTCAAACTACGATTTTTCCTTGACCAAACTTGACTGATTTCTGTGAGAATCTTCATTACAGTAGGTCTTCTGCAGTATTTGTGATGATTGGGATGCAGTTCAACAGATGATTCATTGGAAAACCGTTCTTCCACTTTTCTAAATGACCAACTAGAAGTCAAGCTATTATTTGTTGCTCTTACAACGGGGATCAACGACAAGACTTTTGTCAGGTAGTGTAAAGTTTTTAAACCTCACCTTATAACAATGTTCACATTTATTTCAGTTTTGAAGAAAGATTTGAGGAAAGAAATCTTCAGTCGTTTTCAAAACATCATGTACAACCACACATTCACCCATTCACAGACACAATCACGAGGGTTTAAATGTGAGTTACACCAAATGTTTTATTTAAAATTTGTAAAATAGAACAATGAGAAATGTACTCACTTCAGTTTACAGTTTGAGCCTCGTAGCACATTTCTGAGCTCTGCCATTGAGTCTCCAATGTTATTATGAGTAAGATCAAGCTCTTTAAGAAAGTGCAGTGCATTTGCGTTTATCAGAGACACAGTTAAAGTAGAGACATCTGTAATGCCACAGAACATCAGACTGCAAAAGAAAACATAATAAAAAAATTATATATATGATCTCAAACTTAAACAGATTTTTAGACCTATGATGTGGCTCACCTTAATATCTCCAGCTCACATTCTGGATTCCTCAGAACGTCACACAGATGATTCAGTCCTGTGTTTCTTACTTGATTCTCACTGAGGTTCAGTTCTCTCAGGTGTGATGGGTTTGATTTCAGAGCTGAAGTCAGGATCACACCCTGTTCCTCTGTTATTCTGCATCTATTCAGGCTGAAAAGAGGAAAATAATGACTCAGTTCAATGTTACACATCTATTTGAGTTGCGGGTGCCAGGTTGCTTTATTTTTAGACTTCTATTTAGTTTCACACCAAATTTGTCAGGTTTCAGAATATTAAAAACATTTTGCCACCTAGCTAATAGTTTTGAATTTTTAATTAGGAAATGCCACAAATGAAATGCTGTATATGATTTAACTTGAGACTAATGTCTTGAAATAGTCAAAAATTACTGAAATGTAATCACACTGCAACTGCTGAACAGTACAGAGATACTAACTGTAGTTTTTCCAGCTTGCATTGTTTGTTCATCAGTAAATCACTGAGGTTTTTCACTCCAGAGTCTCCTATTTCATTGATACTCAGGTTCAGTTCTCTCAGGTGTGATGGGTTTGATTTCAGAGCTGAAGTCACAGCAGAACAACCTTCATCTGTCAGAGAACAATTTTTCAACCTACATTAATTGAAATTAGAAAGATTACACACTTTATTCTGTTGCATTTAAATAACAAAATGTTTGTTTCTCACCTCAGTGTCTGCAGTTTACACTGTGAATCCTTTAATACTTCACATAAGTGAATCACTCCTATGTTTTTTATTTCATTTCCACTGAGGTTCAGTTCTCTCAGGTGTGATGGGTTTGATTTCAATGCTGAAGTCAGGATCACACCCTGTTCCTCTGTGATACTGCATTCATACAGGCTGTGAAGTTTATGTGAGAATAAATACACCATGAGTAGCACAAACCTATTTAAATATATACCAAATATATTACTTTTTTAATGATAAGAGTTCAGTCTAGTTCTTAAAAGAGACTTTAACAAAAAGGCTTTGATTTAAAAACAGTGATCAACATTGGAGTATAAAGAAAGACTTCAGATACTGTTTCTAAAGTTTAAGAGATCTTTCACATTTGGCATCTTTTGCGCATCTTTTTATTTCCAATGGAAAAGCACACACATATATTAGGAGCCGTGCAACACAGTCGTGATTTCCAGGCGAACCTAGTTGAAAACATCTCCATTTTTCAGAATGCTGCAAGTGCACAGCAAGTCACATGACAAGAATTGACCAATCAGCAAATAAATCTTGAGACAAAGATACAGCAAGAGTTTTTCTGTATTTGAAATACATAACTCAAATTTATTCTGAGTTGGACAGCACAGCTGAGGGTGCTTAGCAGAGGCTGGGGAAACATAAGCTACGAAGTTTGTTGGACTTGTTAGAGGAAGCGCTTTCCACGCATGGGACCTAAAGCTGTCAAAAATGAGCTAGAATTGTTGATGCACTTGTAGTAAATTATTTTTACTGACCATAGTGGATTCTTAGTCATGCCTTAGCACAAAGGATATTCTAAATTTCAATGAGGTTTGGAACAGGACTCTTGGCAGCCAGTTATTTCAATGTTTTCAGCTTCAAGAAACTGCTTATTTGTTTTTCTGCACAGAAGGAAATTTTACTCCTGTTAGAATAGGTCTGAGGCTAGTGACCTTAAACATTCTCTCTAGGTAGTAGGAAACTCTAGGTAGTTCTCTAATTTTCATCTACATTTCGTCTACATGATTGGGAAAAAATGTTTGGCATCTTTTGCTAATGAACTCATTTGTTTGACAGATTTCCCCACATTTGCATAATCAGAGATGTTGCAAACTGGATGGGAAGATATTTTGGTTAAGGATAATGAAAGCACAATAAATAAGGTAAATTAATTATTCTATTAAAGATTCCATTAAAAATAGCTCAATTTTGATTTGTAACTTCTGTACAAGACAATGTAACTAACATTAGTATTTCCAGTTTGCATTGCGGGTACATCAGTAAATCACTGAGGTTTTTCACTCCAGAGTTTTCTAGTTTGTTCCCACTGAGGTCCAGTTCTCTCAGATGTGATGGGTTTGATTTCAGAGCCGAGGCTACAGCAGAACAAGCTTCATCTGTCATCTCACAGCAGCTTAACCTAGAAAGAAAAAGGATTAGAAGGAGAGCAAAAAAAAAGTTAGAAAATCATCTAGTATTATTAATAAAAATCACCAACCAGTCTTGAATAATTAGTTGTGTTCTTGCCAGGAAAAAAAACATTATATACTAAGGTATACACATAAGAAAGCCTAGTCTATGACTTGTTTGGTTTGTAGTGATGCGCGCATGGCGATTATATCCATGGGCGCTACGAATAATCCGCGGGACAGGTAATAAAAAAACACATGGTGATTAATTGCGAATGGGTTGCGGGTGGATGTAGTGGGACATGGCAGTGGACCAGCGAAAAAGCAGAGAGTGGGCTTTGCAGAATGAGATGCCCAAAATAATGGATGAAGTGAAAGAGTAGACTACTGTTCAAAGTTTCAGTTAGAGGAGTCATCAGAGGAAAATCTACTATCGTTATGGGAGAAGCAAGATCACTTAATTCCACGACTGCAGCGCCTTGCGAGGAGAATCTCGTTCATTCCCACAACAAGCAATGCTAGTAAATGCTCATTCAGTGCAGCTGGTCATATTTTGGAAGCGAGGAGGAATCGCCTGAATGCAGGCACAGTGCAAAGAAAAAGGCCAAGTAAACATAACATAGCTGCCGTTTAGGCTAAAGTGGCATGCTTTTGTTATCTTGTTCCTGCATCTGTAAAAGCTAAAATGTCTTATTTTTACTTTCTGTATCTGTTTGAAAATGAAAAAAATGTTGTCCAAAGACAAACTTTTGTTTTTATAAATAAATGTTCATTTAAAAACGTTTACGATTAAAGTAGCTATTATTTTACAATCAGAGATCACTGAATCTGCTGTTAATATCCACGGTGACCTATCATCATGTCTAAAACAAAGAATTAAATTCTTAAAGTGACAATTGGGTGCGGATATATATCAGATAAAAAAATATGTGCGGGCGGGTGGATAATTAGTATGAAGCCGTGGATTCGGGTGTCATTTCAGCTGATCCGCCTATCTCTATTGGTTTGGATTAGCAAAATTGGTAGTGATTTGTTAGAGTCCAGATTTAGTACAATATAGTTTTAAATAGAATCTGGTAAGGCTAATATGTTCAACAAATATTCACTTTAATAGATTAGTATTAGCCACTTCCTTATATGCAGTACTTTTTATAGTGCATGTAAAAGTAAAGTGAAAAGTGAAGCACTGTGAATACTTTCCAGATGTACTAGTTAATAGTTTGGACATTATGTCACCAGATCCCCCCAAAAAAGCTATGGTGACAAATTTTCACAAATATAATTCAAACACTCTGAGTGAATTTGAGTATAAGGTGTCTTGGTTGAAACTCTAAAGTGACTTTAAACATTGTGATTCTTGTATGTGAATGTTTCTCACCTCAACTTTTCCAGTTTACAGTGTGAATCCTTCAGTAATTCACATAAGTGACTCACTCCTGTGTTTTTTATTTCATTCCCACTGAGCTCCAGTTCTCTCAGGTGTGATGGGTTTGATTTCAGAGCTGAAGTCAGGATCACACACTGTTCCTCTGTAATTTTGCAATTCCAAAGGCTGTAGAAAACAGGTCATGTCAGTGCTGATTATTTAATATTTTGGTTGATTAGTTTGTCATGTCTGACAGTAATTGCTTATTTTAAACTGCCATTTGTACCTCAAAATTACTAAATATTCTGTGAGTCAATTCACGGTGAAATCAGTCTAACACCTGAATCAAATGTGTTTAGTACTTTTTAATTTATTTTATAACTGTAATTATTTTTTTTTATGAACTTAGATTCATAAATGCTCTAAAAATACATCTCCAACTGTTTCTTAGCTAATATATTAAACAATGTTAAAGAGTTATCAGTTGGTGAATGAATGAATTTCTTTTTTTCCCCATGTCCTAGTTTATATTGTGAAAACCTGTGATTTTAATTGAACAGTCAACTACAGACATTAATAACCAATACTCACGTGAGTGTGCTAATCTGACAGTGTTTATCCTGCAGTAGATCAGTGAGCTGATTCACTCGTGTGTCTCCTAGTTCATGTAAACTTAGAGTAAGTTCTTTCAGGAATAAAGGGTTTTTACCCTCAATCCGAGTCACATACTGACAGACTTCATCTGCAGCAGGACTCAAAAACCTGCAGACAGAGAAGATCAGATAAATAGGCATAACAATGCAAAATGTTAAAATCAAAGACTGTTCAAAAAGCTCTAGTTTCCTTTATGATAGACTTCTTCAACATTTATTGATAAAGAATGTCACCTGAAAGCCCCAACTACCTCTTTCAAAAAATGGTCAATGAGTTGATTTGTATGTCAGGCAATACCACCGAACATGCAGGAATACAAGACAGTTGATGTGCACAACTCATTCCAATTTTTTATTCATAGCTGAATGCATTTGCATTCTAGTAAAAAGCCTACTGATTCATCTCCAAGGAAAAAATTATTATTTTTCCTCTTGCTGTGAATTAAGGCAAATTTCATTGAAAGTGAAAGTGAAAGTAAAGGTGATGTGTGGCCAAGCATGGTGTCAGTGAGCTCCTTCACTCCTGACTGTCCAGGATCATTTGCTCTGAGATTCAGCTTTTTTTTCTGTTATTTATTTGCATATGTTGCTGCGCATCTATGTAAAAAATAATGAACTTGAGTTCACACAAAATGTGATAATTTGTATGGCTTTAATCTTCGAGCAACAATGATGTCGATTGCACCTTTCTGTTGTGCACTATGCCTACCAAAAGGAACTGTTTGAATGTGCATTCTAGTGAACACCCTACTCATTTATCTCCAAAGAAAAAAAAAACTTTTTTCTTTGAAAGTGAAAGTGAAAGTAAAGGTGATGTGACCCTTACTCTAAATTTGTGTTTCATTTAACACATGGAGCAGTGGGCAGCCATTGCTGTGGTGCCTAGGTAGCAGTTGGAGATCCAGCATCCCTTGCTCCAGGGTCTCGCCTTAAAACATTAGTCTGGATGAGTTGTGTACAACATCTGTCTTCATCTATTTGTATGTCTGGTTTTATGGACATGCACACACTCAACCTACTGTATAATCCTTGCTTGACTGTATTATGTTGTATTATTTGATCAGGTCTCACCTCACTGTTTTCAGTGTACAGTGTGGATCCTGTAGTAAGTCAGTGAGCTCCTTCACTCCTGATTGTCCAGGATCATTTCCTCTGAGATCCAGCTCTATCAGGTGTGAAGGGTTTGATCTCAGAGCTGAAGCCAGAGCTTTATAACCTTCTTCACTGATACTGCAGTCTGAAAGACTAGAGGAAAGAAGTTGTAATGTAGCTTATAATCATAAATACACTTTTATAAAACAATTTTATTTTAACCAATGAACAGTTTGTTAAACTTACCCGAGTTTCTCCAATGTGGAATTTTCTAATCCACTCTGGAGTTTCTTTACTCCTGAATCCTGCAGATTATTGTTGCTCATGTCAAGCTCTTTCAGACTGCTGTCTGACCTCAGGATTGTAGTGAGAGCTGAACAGCTTTCCTCTGTTAGACCACAGTTATGCAGCCTAAAATATTGTACAGAAGACTATATAATGAATAATTTTTATTTGAAATGAACACTAAATGATAAATACCCACATAAGTGTTTTGATGGTACAGTGTTTGTCCTGCAGTAGAGCAGAGAGTTGATTCACTCCCGTGACTCCCAGTTCATGATCACTCAGATTCAGCTCTTTCAGAAGTAAAGGGTTTTTACCCACAACTCCAGTCACAAACTGACAGCCTTCCTCAGCAGCAGGACACAACAACCTGGAGAAAGAGCAAACACACTGATATTACAGAATATATTTATAAAAGCTTTTGAAAATCTTTTAATAATTTTAAATTCTCCAAAACATAAATTTTTTGTTTTTTTTTAAAGAAAACTCACCTCAGTGTGCTCAGTGTACAGTGTGGATGCTGCAGTAACTCAGCGAGCTCCTTCACTCCTGATTGTCCAGGATCATTTCCTCTGAGATCCAGCTCCATCAGGTGTGAAGGGTTTGATCTCAGAGCTGAAGCCAGAGCTTTATAACCTTCTTCTGTGATACTGCAGTCTGAAAGACTACAGTTTAAAAAAGTCATCCAAAGTCATTCATTGCTCTACATCATAAAGCACGAAAGAAATTACTTCATTTGATAAATAAGCTTAGCAAAGAAACTGTCATCATGGCCACTCTTCTTCTTCTGTCAACACTTTTTCTTTAATCCCCATGTAGCTTCTTTTGGGACTCAAGGCCAGTCTGAAGCTGCCTTCCCACTGCACATGACATTTGGACATGACTGTTGGAATACGCCCCCTTGTGGCTATCACGCAGAATTTTCAGTTTTGTCTGGCACCATGGGAAGCTGATTCTCGCAAAGGAGTGCAAAAGCAAGAGCCTTTATTCTCTGTGCGTTCACCATGGTTAAATAATGGCAATACTAGAAACGTATAGCCTGCCAAAAAAATTGGAAGGGAATGTGGACAACATTAAAAAAATATGTAAAATTGCTTATTTATGAATAGAATTTTTTTTTCAATATAAACTTTTTTTATTTTAAAACTTAAAATAACTAACACTGAGGAAGGCATTGTGCAGAAACGTCTGTGTCTTTTAATCACCCGTAGAATGTAAGAAAAATTCAAAATAAAAAAAACAGTAAAAAGCAATTACCTGAGTGCGAATCAATACCTTTTTTTAATAATAGCATTGACAAGATTGACACACCAAACCAAAGAAGTTTCTAAAAAAAAAAACCAAGCGTGCAGGGCAAACTTTAGCAAAACTTAAAAAAAAAAAAAAAATATATATATTTTCTATCTTGCGCACACAAACTTACTTGGACAACACTGGAATAACATCATTTCTCTTTGGCTGGTCGCCTACAGTCTAGTCGCAGAAGTTCAAATATTTCAATGTATCCGCAGCTCAAATCAGATATTAATTTTCAGCATACAAATATGATCAGATCTCCACACATCTCCCAGACTACTATCCATTGGAAATGAATGACTTCCGGTCTGCCGCTTGTCGTGTGCAGTGGAAAGGGGCTTAAGTGTCACTCACTAACATAAATTGACAGTAGCCACACCACTCATCACAAATACATCCGCTATGAAGATAAACCACCTACCAGGATAATCATTTTATTCTAGTCATAAGGAGTATGAGATTTTAATTTCAAACTGTAAACCAGTTTCACTGAGCAGTATGATTCAATACTGTACAGCATGGTATGCATTTATGTCCATTTCCACTGTCAATCTTACCAAAATAGCAAACCTTTTCGCACCACTTTTAGGAATCCATTCTGAAGGGTATCTAGCACAACAGAATGGTACCAAAAAGATGTAGTTAAAATTACAGCTGAACGCTATTTGTTTACAAAGAATCGTCACTAGCATGTGCAACCAGGCTTGAGAATGACAACACAGGAACCACCATTTTTCTTTTAAATATGAGACATTACATCATACCAATACATATTATAAGCCATGGTCAACCCAAGCTTAAACAAACCTTGTAATTTTCTTGTGACAAACAACCACATGCCAGGAAGAAGGACACAATCTGCTGTGTGTCCCTTGATGTTGTTTACGGGGGTCTCTAAAAATATGAGGAAAGGGAAAGCGGCTCACAATTCTCTCTATTTTCTCTCTAAATTTCTCTCTATATCTTATTTCTATATTATAAATAATAAAGAACTTGAGTTCACAAAAGATGTGATATGTGTATAACTTGTATGGCTTTATTCTTCGAGCAAGAATAATGTCGATTCCAACGTTCTGTTGTACACTACACCTACCAAAAGGAACCGCTGGCAGTGGAAACACAAACCTGATCAAGGTGACCAATACCAAACAGTGCTGTACTGTGCTGTACTGAACTGCTTTGTCAAAAACGGGCACAAATCAGCTTTGATATTTAATTTTTTCCACAAGTACTGTATTTTTAAACATGGGTTCTTCAGTGTTTTGTGCATTCAGTTTAATTATAGTAATCTTGGATTTCCACATAATAATAATAATAATAATAATAATAATTCTTCCTTACATTTATATAGTGCTTTTCTTGACACTCAAAGCGCTTTTACACGATGGGGGGAATCTTCTCATCCACCACCAAGAGTTTTAGGACGTGAACATGTTCAAAAATATAACACTACTATCATAAGTCAATGCACAGTACTCATATAAGTTTATCTGATGATTCAATGTACTGACTTGAGTATCTTCAGCTTACAGACAGGATTCTTCAGTCCCTCACAGATCCCTCTGACTCCTGAGTCCAGCAGACGACTGTTGTTTAGGTTTAGCTCTTTCAGGATGGTTTTGGAGGAGAGACAAGTAGCTAGAACTGAACAGCTTTTCTCTGTCAGCTCACAATTATTCAGCCTAAACACAAAAACAGTGTTATTTATTATTCAGTGCACATAAGATAAACAGGTCTTCATCTATGATAAATAAAAGTCCTGTCATGTTGACTCACTTGATTTTCTCCACTTTGCTATGAGAGTCCATTAGAAGAGCAGAGAGTTTCTCTCCATCCAGATCTCCTAATTTATCTTCACTCAGATCCAGTTCTGTCAGTAATAATGGATTTATGCCCAGAACTTCAGAGAGATAATCACACGACTCCTGTGCAGCAGGACTTTTCAGAAACCTGCATGAAGTGAAATTGTAGGTTATTGATGATTCTTTTTTTATTGATCACATTTTCAATTGTGCAATGGAGTTTTCTCACACAACTGATTTCAGTTCAGTTTTAGATATTTCAAAGATTACCACCTGATCATTTTAATGTACAATGTGGATCCTGCAGTAACTCAGTGAGCTCCTTCACTCCTGATTGTCCAGGATCATTTCCTCTGAGATCCAGCTCTATCAGGTGTGAAGGGTTTGATCTCAGAGCTGAAGCCAGAGCTTTATATCCTTCTTCACTGATACTGCAGTCTGAAAGACTAATAAAAACATTATAATAGCTTAGAATAAAAATAATCACACAAGTGCGTGATAAAAAGCTGAAAAACAAATCCTGTCGATTGTTGTATTATACGTTTCTCACCTCAGTGTTTCCAGTTTACAGAGTGAATCCTTCAGTACGTCACATATGAGATTGATTCCAGTGTTTTTTATGGGATTATAACTAAAGTTCAGTTCTCTCAGGTGTGATGGGTTTGATTTCAGGGCTGAAGTCAGGATCACACACTGATCCTCTGTAATGCTGCAATCACAAAGGCTGAAGACAAAAGTTTTATGAAAAGAGGTCAGCTCTATGCTATATATTGAAGGTTTTGGCAACAATTTATCATTTTAAAGTCCCAATGTATTTTAGTTGATCAGAAAGTAAATGACAAATTCCTGTAAGTTAGCTAAACTGTCTATGCATTTAAAATTATTTTAATCTCACCCTTGGATTAAATGTATTTAGGTCTGTGTCTACTAATACATTTGTAAATTCTTATAATTTTTGTAAACGATTATTATTAGTAATTGATACACTATAAAACCCAAAAACTCAAATCGTTTGAGGAAAGCGATTGCAACAAACCATTTAAGTTCAAAAACTAAACTAAATCAGTTCTGTGGACTTAATACAGTTGAGTAAACAAAGCAATTTAAGCACAGTAAAACCCAATAAATGGAGAACGCAAACCAAGTGAGTACTGTAAACCCCAATAAGTTAAGGCAACTCAAACCGTTTGAGGAAACAGAATGCAAAAACCATTTGAGTTATAAAACTAACCTAAATGAGTACTGTGAATTTACTCCATTTAAGATGAAGTAATGAGAAATTTAAATAACTCATTACCATCAACACTGAGTTCAAAACTCTTTTCAAATTATTAGAATTATCTTTCAGTACATTTTGAGTTAACTACACTCATTTCATTATATAAAGTTGACTGTTGGGATTTATAGTGAATAAAAGTAAATGCTTAAAGCTAATATATTAAACATGGACAATTAACAAGTTACAAATTGTCACATAAGTAAGCAGGGACAAAGAGCAGTGCGAATAATATGAAAGCCCTTCTTGCACAGAAAAAACAAACAAGAAAATCCACATAAGTTAGCTAACAGAGCAACACAATGGACATACAGAAACAACAACTGACATCCCAAAAATCAAAACACAAGAGAACAATAGGGCTCCTGAGCAAATATGATAACTAATAGGTTACATAATTCAATTCATCTTTGTTTTAAAAGTGCTTTTTAAAATGTAGGTTGTGTCAAAGCAACTTAACTATTAGATGTTAGCGATGATCCATATACTGTTTAAGTCAGAATTATTAGCCCCCCATTAAAATTTATTTTCTTTTTTAAATTTTTTCCTAAATGATGTTTAACAAGCAAGGAAATTTTTTTAATATGTCTAATAATATTTTTTTCTTCTGGAGAAAGTCTTTTTTGTTTTATTTCGGCTAGAATAAACGCAGTTTTTAGTTTTTTAAAAACCATTTTAAGGTCAAAATTATTAGCCCCTTTTTGCATTTTTTTTTTTTTTTGATGGTTTACAGAACAAACCATCGTTATACAATAACTTGCCTAATTACCCTAACCTGCCTATTTAAACTAATTAACCCAGTTAAGCCTATAATGACACTTTAAGCTTTATAGAAGCATCTTGAAAAATATCTAATAAATATTATTTACAGTCATCATGGTAAAAATAAATCAGTTATAGTGTGTTTAAGAAATCTCTCTGTTAAACAAAAATTAGGGAAAAAATAAACAGGGGGGCTAATAATTCTGACTTCAACTGTATGTTCAGGTAAATTAAATTGGCTTCAACTCAGTTGTCACAGTTGAAGTTCAGTTAAGTGTATTGTAAATGTGACTGCTGAAAGCCAAAATATTAAAAGAGCAACTCTAACTATGCACAGCTCCACCAGTCACAAACCAAGAAAGCGGCGACAAATAAAACAAACGCAGGAAGTCAATACAAAAAAACATAGTACAAAACGCCGGACAGAGACACACAAGATAGGAATCTTAAAATCACAGCAGACTTTGAGCATGCAAAACTCATTCAAATAGTGCTGGAAAAAGGGGCGGGATAAAACAGGAAAGATTTGACTCTTCTAAAATGAGCCATTCCTCCATGTTTTAAATGTCTGCACCAAAAGGTCACCTTTTATTGGTTTCACGCATTTACTTAATGTGATTCGCAGGTTAGAGTTCAGCAAAGTTAAATTTTACTCTGCAACGACATGCAAGATATTTTCACACAGGGTTTTGCTTACAATCGGACACATTTGCAAGCAAATGAATGGAGTGAAAACTCTAGTGTGACTGTGGCTTAACACAAGCACAAGCAGCTAAAAAAGTATTTATAAGTCATTAGCAAGCTAAAACAAGTTGACTCCGTTGTGTTCAGCTGTGTTTCATACAACAGCTTGGCGAAATGCTTATTTTGCCATCCTTCCAAAATGGACAAATCATGACAGCCTGATTGATCAGAACTGACAAACTACAATAGACTGTGTCATAGTGAAACAAAACAAATATCTATATTTAGTATCAGTAACTATAATCAATATTCACTGCAACAACCTGTTTCCACAAAAAACAACCACAGTTCACAGGAACAACGTACATTAAACCAGCTTGAACTGCTCAAATTCATTCGAAGATATCAATGCTAAAATGTGGAAAACATGGATATCAGAAGCACCAAGAAGAACTGTGAATAATGTGCAATACTCACATGAGTGTGTGGATCTGACAGTGTTTGTCCTGCAGTAGAGCGGAGAGTTGGTTCACTCGTGTGTCTCCGAGTTCATGATCACTCAGATTCAGTTCTTTCAGGAGCAACAGGTTTTTACCCACAACTCCTGTCACAAACTGACAGACTTCATCTGCAAAATTGCTCAAAAACCTATAGGGGAGAAAAAGCAGCGTTCAATTTAATGAGAACAAACATTGTTTAAAAAGCTCCAATCAGCCAGCGAGTAGATATGGAAGGCCGCGACACCAGACATATAAGACCACCAATTCTGGATGTTTCAATATTAAAGAGCAATTCTAAGAGCAACCACAGTTGTAATGTTCTCATATAGAGTATTAAAACCCAGATTAAACGAAGTCCAATTATTGCCAATGAAGAGAGTGTTGTATAAATACCATTGGAAATGAAGAAAGTTGTTGTGTTCTTCTTGCAACCCACCACAAGTTCTTCCATGGACAAAATATGTGTTGTTTGGTCTAATGACTCTCTGCCTGACCTGGCGTGCTCTTATTATATCTCTTCCTAGAAGCAGAAGAATCTTGGCCTCTGGTTCTAGATCTTTAGGTCTTCTTTTAGAAGTTTTCCACTCTGACGATTCTCAGCAAGTTCTGTGATTTTACATAAATGTTTTACTCTCCATATTGAACAGCTTAAAGAACTCTGGCTCTTTTCATCCAGAATAACTAAGCGTTGATGGACATGTCTCCGGAACACTTAGGATATAGCTTTCCAAGAGTATTTTCTTTACAGATCTGGACCTCCAACTTTTGATCAGCTTGCATTGAAAACAGCAGTGCCAGCATGAAATTCACGCTCCCCATCATTATCTTATGATGCCGAAGGAGCCTTGAGTACTTGAGTTAATGGGCTATGGTTACATATCTTAGCCACATCATAATTGCTGCTGCTGAATTCAGTGAATTGCACTGGAGTCCTGCAGTCTTTGGAGAGACACCAAAGAAGAGCATTTAAAACATTTCTTTCTGTCAGGACAAACACCCCCTTTCAATCATTTTTGATGGAGCATAGCCATCTTGTAGTCTCTCCCATGCTTCACATGAGACCAGATCAGAGTTACTGACATGCACTAAGTAGATGCGCTTTAGTTATTCATTAGGTTACATTTCAAGCCATTCAGTCATGAAGATCAATTTTTGCATTGCTGTGAGATAAACTTGGCACAGAGCATAGGTGAATGAGGGAAACCATGATTAATTTTTTGGGAGCTCATGATCAAATAAATATAGTTCTGAAAGAAAAAGGTCTGTTCCTGAGGAGGTAGCTGAAAGATTGTATACAGCATGAATAAGCCTGTGCATTCATGATGGGGCTTGCCCTCCTGACTTAATGCTCCAACGCACAAGAAGACTGATCAGGTAGTTTTGGTTAAGGTATGTACATTTCATCAGTATTCTCATACTTCGGTTTATTTTTGATAGACAGATATGCAGTTGTTATGATAGTCAGCGTGGGATGGTGTAGCAACAGGTAAGGTTTTAAGAGTATAAGAAACTGAATTTTGTTCTGAGAATTGACTTTCGATGCAGCATTTAAGTTTAGTTTTCCGTAATTCAGCTCTTTCTCTTTTAACTCCAGCAAAAAAAAGTAACAATTTATCAAAATGCCATCTTTAAGCAAAATTATTACTATAATTGCATGACAGGTAATATTATAAACAGGAAAGTACCTTAGAAAAAGTTTTACCTGAGAAAATGTACAAATCTTCATTCATTCATTTTCCTTCGGCTTAGTTCCTTATTTATCAGGGGTTTCCACAGTGAAATGAATCACCAACTATTCCAGCATATGCTTTAAAGAGCAGATGCCAGTGTAGCTGCAACCCAGTACTGGGAAACACCCATAGACTCTCACAGTCACAAACACTCATACACTACGACCAATTAAGTTCATCCTATTCACCTATAGCACAAGTCTTTGGACTGTGGGGGAAACCGGAGCACCCAGAGGAAACCCACACCAACATGAGGAGAACATGCAAACATACAGTAGAAATGCCAACTGGACCAGCCTGGACTCGAGCCAGTGACCTACTTGCTGTGAGGTGACAGGGCTAACCACTGAGCCACCAAATTCTAAACGTATGAATGAGTGATGTATGCATGCTCTCTTATTTACCTGTTTGTCCAGAAGAGTAGCCATGCATCCAAATTCCACTTAGGGGTGATTAAGGTTCCAAAGTGAGACCCCTAATGTCAGAATCTACATACATTCTCCATTCCCACAATCAAGAAACTAGGTAAGTATTAGTTACCTATAAATTACTTTTAAAGACTCTACAAAAAACACTGAAAAATTACATACATATGTATGTATGAAGCAGCATGGTGGCTCAGTGGTTAGAACTGTCACCTCACAGAAGGTTGCCGGTTCGAGTCCCGGCTGGGTCAGTTGGCATTTCTTTGTGGAGTTTGCATGTTCTCTTCGTGTTGGTGTGAGTTTCCTCCAGGTGCTCCAGTTTGCCCCACAGTCCGAAGACATATAGTACAGGTGAAAAGTCAACTAAATTGTCTGTAATGTATGATAGAATAGTTGGCGGTTCATTCAGCTGTGGCAACCTCTAATAAATTAGGGACTAAGCCGAAGGAGTGAATGAATGATGGAACAGATGTTCTATAAAAGATAAATGACTAATTGAACTGGAAAAATTTAAATGTTTGTTAGATCAGGATTTTAATGGAACAATTAGAAGTTCCAAATGTACAATTTGAATAAACTTTATATACATTTGGCTGGTTTAAATGGATACAATGTGGATGTCACAATCACCTGAGAGTCCTTAGTGTAGAGCGTGGATCCAGTAGTAAGTCAGTGAGCTCCTTTACTCCTGATTGTCCAGGATCATTTCCTCTGAGATCCAGCTCTATCAGGTGTGAAGGGTTTGATCTCACAGCTGAAGCCAGAGCTTTATAACCTTCTTGATACTGCAGTCTGAAAGACTAGAGAAAAAAAATCAGTCATACTGATTATTTAAACCAATTAATGGGTTATTAAACTCACCTGAGTTTCTCCAGTGTGCAGTTTGTATTTTCTAATCCGCTCTGGAGTTTCTTCACTCCTGAATCCTGCAGATTATTGTTGCTCAGGTCAAGCTCTTTTAGACTGGAGTTTGATTTCAAGACAGTAGCGAGAGCTGAACAGCTTTCCTCTGTTAGACCACAACCACGCAGTCTAAAATGTTGAACATAAAACTCATTTAAAAACACACAGTACGTGATGGATCAAATAACAGACTCTTACAAACGGATTTAGTTAACCTGAAAATATATTTTAAATATTCAATTAAATCTAAATACAAAAAATACTCACTGAAGTATAATGAGTTTACAGTGTTTATCCTGCAGTAGAGCAGCAAGCTGAACCATTTCTTTGTTTCCTAGTTGACGATCACTCAGATTCAGTTCTTTCAGGAGTAATGGATTTTTGCCCACAACTCCAGTCACAAACTGACAGGCTTCTTCAGCAGCAGGACTCAAAAACCTTGGAAAAGAGAAAATATACTAACATTACACAACAATTCACAAGCTTCTAAATGATTTTTAATAATAACAAAACTGCCATAATCTTTTTGAGTATTGAATATTGAAGACTTTTGAATGATATTATTTTTAAAACACTCACCTCAGTGTGTTCAGTGTAGAGTGTGGATCCTGCAGTAACTCAGTGAGCTCCTTCACTCCTGATTGTCCAGGATCATTTCCTCTGAGATCCAGCTCTATCAGGTGTGAAGGGTTTGATCTCAGAGCTGAAGCCAGAGCTTTATAACCTTCCTCACTGATACTGCAGTCTGAAAGCCTACAAACAGTAAAAACAGCAATGTAAATTAACTTTGCAATTCAATTTAATTCATTACGGCACAACAACAAACCATGAAACTACATCACAGCTTAGAGAAGCAGAAAGATGAGGCTCTGCGGTGATTGAAAGTGTCCACTTTTGAAATCCCCTCATTCAATTTATTTTTATCTCTATAGTGTATAGTATAGTGTAGTATCTATAGTGCTTTTTTTTTCTCCATTTAGATTATGTCAAAGCTTTTAAGTTCTAGTAAATTAAACCTCAAGTCCAGTGTAATGCAATCGTCAAGCCGAAGCCGAAACACTGAGGCCTTGTTTACACTAATACGTTTTAGTTTTAAAACGGTGCAAACTTTGTGTGCTTAATATTGAGGGAAAAGCACCAATCGGTGAATGTCTGCAGATTCCTCTATTTTCAGATGTCTCTGTTTTCCCATCCACACTAACACAGAGCAGCAGCGTTTTAAAACCAAAATGGCCTCTTAAGTGTTTTCAAAACGCTCCATTTTTGGGGCTCGAAAACTCTGGGGTAATGTGAATGGAAGGCATAACCACAGCAAAACTTTTCCAATTTAAAACTAAAACACTTTAGTGTAAACGGGGCCTGAATCATCTGTGTTTCTGCAGTTGCATTAAAGAAACTACAAATAGTGTTGGGGCTATCGAGACATCACAAGAGGCGAGTAAATGATCTACTGTGAAGGAGTCAGTAAGCTCTTGGTCTGGTTCATTTTAGACACTAATCTCTCCAAATGAGACACCAGCATGTTCATATCAATCTCTGTCTGGCGCTAAGAAGGTGTGCAAATGACCAGATCATCAAGATAGGACAAGGCTCCTGCATTCCTTAACGGAAAAACAATGATCTGAGGGGGAGCACTCTGAACTTGTATTTACTGAGGTGTCTGATGAGGGAGGCAACAGAGAGCTTGTTTGTGATAGAATGTTTAGGCACTTTTTTCACCGCTCAGAACAAACCTCATAGGAAGGCTCCATAATAAATCTAAATTAAAACTTCAATTATGCAAGACAAGCGAGTATTTTGTAATCTAAGAACCAACATTTTTTTTACTTTTTGAATACAGAAAAGCAGCTTTGAATTGCAGATGTGTTGTCATTAATGCATTTGTAATTGGTCACAATAATGTCTGAATGAGAACTGGTATTCTTAGATATTCCCCATTTATAGTTATATAGCCTACTTATACTCTATTTCTGAAAGGAACTAGGTTCAAAAACGTAAAGACTCCCATCATAAGCCAATGCACAATACTCATTTCAGTTTGTTTTATAATCAAATGTACTGACTTGAGTATCTCCAGCTCACACACAGGATTCTTCAGTCCCTCACAGATCTCTCTCTGACTCCGGAGTCCAGCAGACGACTGTTGTTCAGGTTCAGCTCTTTCAGGATGGTTTTGGAAGAAAGAACTGTAGCTAGAACTGATGAGCTTTTCTCAAGCAGCTTACAATTATTCAGCCTAAACACAATAACGGCCTTATTTAATATACAGCACACATTTAACCCACATAAAAGCAACATCTCTTCAAATCTACTCACACACTAGAAGTTTTAATGGATAAATCATGTTTACTCACTTGATTTTCTCCACTTTGCTATGAGGGTCCATCAAAAAAGCAGAGAGTTTCTCTCCATCCAGATCTCCTAATTTATCCTCACTCAGATCCAGTTCTGTCAGTAATAATGGATTTACATGCAGAACTTCAGTAAGAAAATCACATGACTCCTGTGCAGCAGGACTTTTCAGAAACCTGCATGAAGAAGATTTTCAAATTATATTTGTCACAATTTAATTGTTGTGTTTGCCATATTTCTCTAAATTACAATGGATTTTTCATATCATTCCTAATCCATACTACACAATTTGAATCTCATATCTACATTCAAACTGTTTATTTTACATAAGTAGCAATTTTATCACCTGATGATTTTTAAGTTACAGCATTCATCCAGTAGTAAGTCAGTGAGCTCCTTCACTCCTAATTGTCCAGGATCGTTTCCTCTGAGATCCAGCTCTATCATGTATGATGGGTTTGATCTCAGAGCTGAAGCCAGAGCTTTATAACCTTCTTCTGTGATACTGCAATCTGAAAGTCTAAAGAAAATATATTCTTTTTCTTTAATTGATATTGACAAGAAGAATTGGTGAAAATCAGAAATAGACAACAACTTATACATTTCTAAAATCTTAGATTACTTAGTCCTATTTTAGGTTATCAGGAATAAAACTGGAGTTTATATTCATATTTTGGCTGAAGCAGATCCTTAAACCTTTCAAAATAATAAAATTACCAGCAAAGAGTATTGATCTAAACCTTATTGAAAAATTATGGGAAATCCATAACAGTCAATGAACTGTAGAGATGGCTGGAGGAAGCAGAGAATTAAAGAGATCGTTCATCTAAAAAGTAAAATGCTGCCATCTTTTATTATTCCTTTCTGTATTCATAACCTATGAGAGTTTTGTTCTTCTGTTGAACACAAAATACATTTTGAAAAATGCTAGTAGTTGGCACCCACTGACTCCCATGGTAATTGCTATCTCTACAATGGAAGTCGACAGCAACAAGCATTTTTCAATATGTCTTTCATAATTTGTTCCAAAGAAGAAAAAAAAAAAGGAAACTCATTTACTCGCCCACATGATGGGGAGTAAATGATAAGGTATTTTTAGTAGGGAACTATCCCTGTAAAATGTAACATACTTGCTGACACAGACATAATGAACAGATTTGTCTTGATGTTAGATTTATAATTAAAGTAATACAAAATATATTATTATTTTGTATTTTGACTTAAAATGGACATATTAACATGTAGAAATGTGTATAATTGAAAAATACACATTTGAGTTGTTCATTCTGTGTGGACAGAAAATATTTGCTATTCGTGATTCACACAATAATATTGGTGTCAATACAAGCTAAATACTCACATCAGTGTGTTGAGCGTACAGTGTTTATCAAGCAGTAAAAGAACAAGCATTTGAAAGCTGTCTGAGAGTCCTAGTTCATGTCCACTCAGATTTAGCTCTTTCAGGAGTAACAGGTTTTTACCCACAACTTCAGCCAAGAACTGACAGGCTTCATCAGCAGCAGGACTCAAAAACCTGAAGAAAGAGCAAACACACTGACATTACATGACAAATTCACAAGTTTTGAATGTTTTTTAATAATCAAAAAAATTCCACAAACTTTGTGATAGTTTATCTTTGTTTTTGCTCAAATGTATTAAAGTCTTTTGAATGCTATTGCTTTAAAAACACAAACCTCAGTGTCTTCAGTGTACAGTGTGGATCCTGCAGTAACTCAGTGAGCTCCTTCACTCCTGATTGTCCAGGATCATTTCCTCTGAGATCCAGCTCTATCAGGTGTGAAGGGTTTGATCTCAGAGCTGAAGCCAGAGCTTTATAACCTTCTCCACTGATACTGCAGTATGAGATTCTGGAACAGATGGAAAGATTTAACATTTAGCTAAGGACATCACAGACTCAACGCTGGGACAAAAATCCCAAAATTCCAACAGAAAATTATGGCAATCTTTGCAAAGCTGTTACTGTGCAAAATGATGGTTTAATTAAAGCAAAGGTCTCAAACTGAATTCCCCGAGGGCCACAACTCTGCATACTTTAGCTTCAACCAGATCCAACTCACACCTGCTTTATAGTTTCTAGTAGTCTTAAAACACCTTGATTAGTTGGATCAGCTGTGTTTGATCAGGGTTGGAGCAAAACTGTGGAAAGCTGCGGCCTTCCAGGGATCCAGCTTGAGACCTATGGTTTACAGTGTTCAATAGGTGAAAAAATCCCACCAGAAATAGCCAAAAATAAAATAAAACAAATAAATAAATGATCAAATGTGCAAAGTAACAAATTTCTTACGTACTAAAATATAGTAATGCATAAGAGTACACCAATTTCCCACTATGGAGAGACTTGACAAGACTCCACAAAACTAGGTTGCATAGCCACAGACACACACACAAAAAGTGAGCGAAACATTCAAGATAAGACTTCAAAACAGATGGTCAAGTAGATCTGAGAGGCCATGTTGACACCCCTTAAAATCTCTTGGCAAGCAATTAGCTTAGCAATTCAATACACCAACATATTCATGTTGCAAGCACATTGGTGATGCCTTTGTTTTGAATGTAATTTGGCTGTATGATCTCTTTGTGAAGGGGCCCTGTCACCTCACAGCAAGAACGTCGCTGGTTCGAATTCCGGCTGGGCCTGCTGGCATTTCTGTGTGGGATTTGCATGTTCTCCATGTATGTTCATGTGAGTTTCATGTGAGTGCTCTGGTTTTCCCACAGTCCAAAGACATCATGTATAGGTGAACTGGATAATCTACAATGGCCGTAGTATATAAGTGAGTGAGTGAATGTGAGAGTGTATGGGTGTTTCCCAGTACTCAGTTGCAGCTAGAAGGGCATCCGTTGCAGAAAACATATTTTAGAATAATCAGTGATTCATTCCACTGTTGCAATCCCCTAAGAAATCATGGACTAAGACGAAGGAAAATTAATTTAAATGAATCCTTTAAAGGTGTTTAGAAGCCAAATACCCTAATTGAAGTCACCTACTTTAGACAGAGAAATGTACCATTAAATATAAAGTTAAAGCCAACAAATTTCACAGACCAGAATCCACTCTCTAGCAGATTAACCAACTTCAAGTTAACAAATTCTTACTGAACACGAGCAATTGATCACCTACCTCAGTACTTCTAATTCACACTTAACGTTCTTCAGTGCAGTGCAGAGCAGCTTCACTCCTGAATCCTGCAGATTGTTATTGCTCATGTTCAGCTCTTTTAGACTTGTATTTGATCCAAGAACTCTAGCAAGGACTGAACAGCTTCTGTCTGTTAAGTTACAGTCATTCAGCCTACAAGGAAAATACATTGGGGCACAAAATTAGATACCTGTAATACTTTTACTAAATAGAAAGGATTTTAACTATTATTTTTATATGAGCAGTAAAAATTCAGTGCATATATTGAGATCCAATCACATCTTCAAAGCCAGTAATTTTATACCATAATTGAATTATTATTCAGTATTTTTAAAGTGTAATCAAATTAGAGATTAAATAAACTGTATTGCTTAACTAAAAAATGTTTATAGCTTTAAAAGACAAAAATCTATAAAAAGCTAACCCTACCACATAGAAGATAATCGTAAAGATGAATTATATACATCAAAATGTACATAGACAGACATTTAGCAATATTCAATAATTCAATATATTATGATATTGAGCATGCATAATATTGATATTCTGGGACTTTAAAGAATATTTAAATTGTTGTATTAGTGCTTGAAGACATATGGGGAAATGCTTTGCAAACAAACAATTTCATGGTAAACAGGCTTATTTATAGACTTTGTTCACTAATATTGTAAAGTAAGGTTGCATTTATTAACATAAGTTAATTTAACTAAAGTCAATATATTGACAACTGCAGTAAAAACACAATTATTAAGATTATTTAATGGAATTTTTTGTTAAGCACTAATATAGGCAGAAGCCTAAATTAAGACTTACAGAGCTTTTTTGCAGGTTTTGATGACTGCTGATAGTCTGATGAGACACTCGTCTGATTTCTTGAATTTCTGAAGCTCAAACTCCTCCATCTCCTCCTCTGATGTCAACAACACAAAGGCCACAGCAGACCACTGGGCAGGTGAAAGGTCAGAAGATGAGAGACTTCCTTTGCTAAGGTGAGTCTGAATCTCTAACACCAGAGTTTGGTCGTTCAGTTCATTCAGACAGTAGAACAGATTGATGGATCTCTCTAGAGAAAGATTCGCTTCAAACTTCTGCTTGATGTACTGAACTATTTCCTCTTTACTTTGGACATTTTTGTCATGCTGGGTTAACAGACCTTGTAAGAGTCGTTGATTGGACTGGAGAGACAAGCCGAGAAGGAAGCGAAGGAAAAGGTCCAGGTGTCCATTGTCACTCTCAAGTGCCTTGTCCACTGCAGTCTTCAGCAAATCAATCATAGACTCATTTCTGTTCTCCTGTTCTGTAGAGTCTTGATCAAACACACTTTTCTTGTTGATGTCTAGAAACAGATGTGCATAAAGGGCTGCAATATACTCCTGAATGCTTAAGTGAACAAAGCAGTACATGGTACCAAGAACAATCCCTGTTTCCTCCTTAAAGATCTGGGTACACATGCCAGAGTAAACAGAGGCCTTATAGACGTCAATACCACAGGCTTCCAGGTCTGTGTCATAGAAGATCAGGTTATTTCTTGACAGATGATGAAATGCCAGTTTCCCCAGTGAAAGGATGGCGTCTTTATCCCAGGAAACATCTGGTTTGTTTTCTCCATCATACTTTCGTCTGCTCTGATGGATCTGAAAGCGCAGAAAGTGTGTGTACATCTGTGTCAGAGTCTTGGGAGTGTCTTCAGTGTTTGATTCCTGCAGTGTTTTGGAGGCGTCATCAGCCTGATTGTTTTTAACACCATTATTTCTCTTCTCATCCAAAAGGTTTTGAAGAACAGTGGCTGAAATCCAGCAGAAGACTGGGATGTGGCACATGATGAAGAGACTCTTTGATTGTTTAACATGATCAATGATTTTGTTGGCCATTTTCTTATCTGCAAATCGTTTTCTGAAGTACTCCTCCTTTTGTTCATCATTGAATCCTCTAACTTCTGTCACTTGGTCGATACAGTCAGGAGGAATCTTACTGGCAGCTGCTGGTCTGCTGGTGATCCAGATGAGAGCAGAAGGAAGCAGATTTCCCTTGATGAGGTTCGTCAGGAGAACATCCAGAGAGGCTGGAGATGAAACATCACGACACATCTCATTACCAGCAAAGTTCAGAGGAAGACGACATTCATCCAATCCATCAAGGATGAACAGGACTTTGAATCGATTCCTTCTTGCAAAGTTCAGTCCTTTTGTTTCTGGGAAAAACTGACTTAAAAGACTTGTCAGGCTATGGGTTTCTTTCTCCTTCAAGTTCATCTCTCTGAATGGAAGAGGAAATATGAAGCTGATCTCTTGATTTTCTTTTCCTTCAACCCAATCCAGAACAAACTTCTGCACAGAGACTGATTTCCCGATGCCAGCGACTCCTTTTGTCAGGACAGTTCTGATCTGCTTGTCTTGTTCAGGAGCTTCAAACATCTTCGTGCATTCAACCTGCATCTCTTGAGCTTCATGGTGTCTGGAAGTAAATTCAATCTGCCTGACCTCATGTTCAGTATTGACCTGTTTACTACCACCCTGAGTGATATAGAGATCTGTGTAGATGTTCTTCAGAAGTGTGGAGTCTCCTTGCTTTGCAATTCCTTCAAACACACACTGATACTTAATTTTTAGGCAACATTTTAGCTGATGGACGAAGAGTAGCTCATCTAAACACCAGGAAAAATACAGATTTTTATGTGTTTTTATCATTTTTTTCTGCACATTTCCATAAAAACATGTTCATGAGTCTCTCACCTTCTAGCATATCAGCAGCTTCATCTTGCTTATTTTCCCTCAAGAAGTAAAGTGTGAGATCAAGAGCTGCTTCCTTGGCTCTGTTTCTATTCTCATTAAAGTCCTTCACAAAAAATTGAGTGTTCTCTTTTTGTAATATTTTCTTAAATTTTTCCATCTCATTTTTTTGAAATTCAACTACTTTGCTCTCAACATCCTACAAATGAAAAACAAAGGGTAAGAGAAAATTTTTGCTTTCTAATAAGCAAACAACAGCTAATTTAAATGCAGCATCAAGAGCAGGGGTGACCAATCCTGTTTCTATAGATCTACCTTCCTGCAGGGTTCATCTGCAACCTTGATCAAATACACCTGCCTTTAACTATCCAAGTGCTTCTTCAGATCTTACTAAGTTGGTTTAGCTGTTTTTCATCATGTTTGGAAAAGTGTTCCCAGAAGCATTAAATACAGACTCAGAACTACAGTTTAGAGGTCTGTGCAGGACTGTTTTTTTTTTCAGTCCTGCTCCCGCTGGCTTTTATTCTGCACCTGACCGCCTCTGCTATTTCTTTAATCTGTTACCCACTGTCTGCTTTCTGGGTCCAAACCCACAACTGACTGTTCCTGCTACATTAATATGAGATAAAAGAGCTGAATGATCTCTCTTTGCTAAACCTTCATGATCTGTGCAGAATTTTATTCACTACGAGGGTGCTGATAATGGAGCTCTCTGGAATAGTGTTAATAAAAGTGCGTTGTAGCTTTAATAATAAAAAAAAACACTACTCTAGAGCAGTGGAGAGGTGATCTCTGGAGATCCCGCTTTTTTGTCTGCCAATTCCACGGACAAGTCTGGGTTTGGGATTTGCCAGGAGAACCGTAATTGCCTGAATGCATTGTGTTTGATGGAGAAGGGATTATGATGTGGGGTTGTTTATTAAGGGTACAGCCAACCCTTAGTTCCAATGAAACATGTAATATGTCTTGGTATGCTTCAGCTTTGGACAATTTCATGCTCTTGACTAGCCTGCACAGACTCCTGACCTTAACCTGATAGAACTAAATGTCTGGATCAGGGGTGCTCAATCCTGTTCCTGGAGATCTACCTTCCTGCAGATTTCAGTTGCTACCCATATCAAACACACCTGCCTGTAATTATCAAGTGGTGTTCAGGTCCTAATTAATTGGTTCAGGTGTGTTTTATATGGGTAGCAACTGAAATCTGCAGGAAGGTAGATCTCCAGAAACAGGATTGAGCACCCATGGTCTGGATGAACTGAAGTAGAGACCAGGCCTTCACACCCAACAGCAATATTGTGTATGTATGGATGTGGACCTCAATGTGCTGCTATTCTCATTTCCTTGTGGGTAACTTTGACATTCATCAAGAGAAGCCTTATGCTGCAGACTTTCGCTTTTTTTTAAGCATCATTTGCTTGATTATATCGCCATGATGCAGCTTAAAAACATATTTTCAAAACGAAAGAAAGAACTTGCCCAAAATAACGCGAAAACGACAAATTTTCACTTGTTTGTGAATACAGTTTAAGTCAGAATTATTAGTCCCCCTTTTTATTTTCCCCACCATTTCTGTTTGACGGAGAGCAGATTTTTTTCAACACCTTTGTAAACATAATAGTTTTAATAACTAATTTCTAATAATATTTTATCTTTGTCATGATGATAGTAAATAATATTTGACTAAATATTTTTCAAGAAACTTCTATACAGCTTAAAGTGACATTTAAAGGCTTAACTAGGCTAATTAGGGTAACTAGGCAGGTTAGGATAATTAGGCAAGTTATTGTATAACGATGGTTTGTTGAAACTGTTGAGAAACTGTTGAAACCTCATCTTTTGCAGAAGTACCTTTCCACAAAAAAATATTTTATTTCCCTTTTCCTTAATTCCACAAAGTTCTAATCTGGATTTTTTTAATTACTTTTGAAAAATGTAAATATCAATGTTAGAAAGACAACACCTGAAATTCAACCACATTTAAAATCCACCACTCGCCAACACAAACAAAACAGCAATAGATATATTTCTTAACCTTTTTTTTTTTTTTTTTTTTTTTTTACAAAATAAATAATTGTTATATTAAATTAATACTAATGGAAAAAGAATTCAATATAACCGAAATAAAAACCTTTGTCCCAAAACATGTATTATACACACAACATTTCCTTAAACATTTTAAACATAAAATGTTATTTTTCCTACCCGGAAGATCCCTTGGAGATTGCCTTTGAAATTCTTTTGGTTCCTGTCAGGCAGAAAGTCTGAATCCAATGCTTCATACTGAATCCTGTTAACAAATAAAATACTGAATTTCTTGTCAAAACATTATAAAAAATTCTACTTAACACAGAAAGCATTAGATGTGGCATCCTCTGATGAATCAGGGACTAAGCTGAAAGAA